TCAAATGATGAATAATTGAGCACTCTGTGTTGTTTTTTTCTGTTTGCAGTGGAGTCTGCCATTTGTTTTACGTAAATACATTTGTGGTTTTTTTCTCTACCTTCCAACCATTTGTCCTGTGGTTTTCATATCGGAGCTACTCAGCTCAAATGGGGACTTACCAGCTGGAATAATGAAGTCGGAGCCTGAGTCTGAATTTTTTAAATTTTATATTACCAGGTAAGGCCCACTAAGCTACATGTTTTTTTATTCAGAAGCTACCTGGCCACAAATAATAGCTCAACGAAGTGGCTTATCACGTGGAAGTTTATAGCAGCCAAATTCTAAATGTGGAGGGAAAAACCGGAGGACCCGGAGATAAATCCACGTCACCAAATTCCAAATATACAGCAGGCATCAGAGTCGGGATTAAACCCACGACCTCCTGTGTACCAGGAGGTTCTGCTTCACCTCACCCCACAGGGATCTGTTGGATTCCGGCTCATAATTCGATCCAAGAATTATATCTTGCTTCATTTTAACCGTCATGTTTGTATTGTCTCACTTTTATTTCTACTTTTTTTAAGGTCTCTTTTACACGCAGTTTTGTTGGCACCTTAGCCCCAATGTAACGTGCGCGTGTGTAATCGCACACTTAATAAATAATCGATTCGCGCAAAACACCCTTTGGTGCACCTCCAATTAGCACGGCTGGCTATACATACGGCGAGTAAGAAGTTCAACATACCTGCATACATACGATGCGCGTGTCGTGAGCGTGATCGTCGAACTTGGATCGACGATGGGCGGCTAACACGCCTATTACGATCCTGCCTGAGCCCACCCAGGCCTGCCCTAAATTCAGGTCTCTCTTTTAACCGGGCGAACGTTAAATCACTTAGCGGCACAGCGGCGCGACTTGCACCAGCTGTTTTGCTCGGAGAACACTGGCCGTATCTCAACGCGGCGCCTCGGCGTGATATTTATTAGGGCCTCGGCGTCGATGAATTCCGGGAGGAAAAAAAAAGCGTTACAGGACATATGTTGGGCACGGCTGTCCAGGCCACTTACGGCGTGCCTCGACGATCCATAATTCATCGCGTAACTCGTGCTTGTTTCCCTGCCGGGGATGCTTTTTTCTCCCTCTTCTTTTTCGGGCACTCTGTATGTGTGTGTGTATGCGTAGATATTTAGTAAACACATGTCGGTCGAAAGTTATTTCTTTTTTTCTTTCTCACTCGAGGTATGCACATAAATGTTTTGCAGATGGCAAAATGATGCAGTTTAGTTTCGCGTTTATTGCAGTGATTGTAAGTTGGCTCTAAGCGCAGTGATCGTAATAATGTTTTTTTTTTGCTCAGGGTAACCTTACCGAGTCTCATGACACCTTTTTGAGGAGGGTCCTGCCTTGGGATGTTTGTGCCGCTTTCAAGTTAACGAGTGTTTTTACCTCGTGGTAGAGAACTCTGGTACCCGGAGGAAACTTACGCACACGAGGAAGTAATACTCAAAACTCTGCACGGTTAGATGTAGGAATCCGTTGCTGTACTGACGTCTCCTGGCAGCACAGCAACGGATGCTCATGGCCCGACCGTGGTCTGTGCAGCAAAGTAGGAGAGTGTATGCTCACTTTACCCCAGGAACGCCAAAGCACGGTTGGCTATGTACGGCGCAAAATAAGTTGAACATACACAGACACGTAACACCTTATTCCCACAGCCGAAGCCTACAATCAACACCTGATAGGCTACGAGTACTAACGAGTCTCACCCCCACTCAGCTGCCAAGATCTGTTGAAGCTATTTTTACCCCCAAAGTTTAACTTGGGATAGAAGTCATCCGGTCGGTGAGTTCACATCCCAGCAAGGGGGGTCACCTCAGCCAACAATTTATCCAGGGGGGTTCATAAAGTGAGCACTCCGCTGCTGTGGAGGAATACAATATTTGTCCCCGTTTGCAAACACCGTTGCCCCCGCCGTGCGATATACGGGATGCCGCGCCCCCAGCGCCCCCCCACCGACATTTTGAGCAGAGGAGGAAAATTCGAATCCACTTCAAAGTGAGCACCATTGGAAATCGGCGTCCAAGCAAACACATTGCAGCGCAATAAAGCGACGTGGTTCTCGCATTTCTCCGCTGCCTTCATGCGAGCGGGCCCCGCAACAACAATGTGGTGCGCCGCGCACTTGTTGTTTCTGTTACGCGGCCGGCTCCAGTAGGCGTGCGTCCTGTGTTACGTAACCCCCCTGATGTGTACGCTCCATTTCATGGGCCTGCTGTACATTTACGGCTTTAAGTCACCGACGTCGGCTCATTAAATGCATTGTTTACAGCGGGTAGATTGTCATATGGCGGACCCCATTAAGGATGGTTGCACATACGCCAAAGAGCGTTGCGTAAGGTCAGGTCACATGTCCTGGTTTTTAAGTAGGCCTCTCTCTGCGTTTGTGTCCCTGTGCTTTGCGGAGCGCGTGTGTGATGATGCTTGTAGCGTTACAGGGGCAGCAGCAGAAGCAGCTTATAACATCCTTATATTATTTTTGTTATTTACTTATTTCTGCAGAGGAGCGTAGTAGTTAGTGCACTGCTGTTACACTACTGATGACCTGGTTGAGATTGCTGGCCATGCTGTGTGGGTAATGAGGTTTATTTGACCATACTTCACCATTATGCTGATTGGTGCAGGTTGGTACAGGAAGCAACCTGGGACCAGTTCGGATATTGCTCACCACTAATGCTGTTGCAGGAATCAGGTGCATAGTGTAGTGAACTAACCACTGCGCCACCATTCCAACCCTCTCTGCATACACTACAGTGACAAAAACCAATAAGTATTCAATCATGACCCAAACTTGCGGCAATTCGTATAACCTTAGAGGAGCGTAATTGTCACGTGCCTCTAAAACATGTGCAAGCTGCAGCTCCGATATCCACATTAGAGACACAGATGTGGATAGGGGTGCCACGGTGAAGAGATGTTGACCACCTCGCTTGGTATACAAGAGGTCGTTGGTTCGATCCCAAGCCTGACACCTATATATTTGGAGTTTGCATGTTCTACCCGTGGTCATGTGGATTTTTCTCCGGGTCATCCGGTTTTGCTTCTGCTTTTAGAAGCATGCATTTATAGCATTGGGCTGCTGTAAATGTCCACATTGATGAACTCCTTCGTTGGGCTATCATGTTTGGCCAGGTCGGTTCTGAAAAAGCGCTATATAGCTCAGTGGGCCTCACCTGGTAAGTAAAAAATATATAAGAGATGTGTGTGGGCTTCTAAAAACCACATGTACCGTGCTGCCCCAAAGATCTATTCCGATTTAAATATTAGTACAGAAATGGGTTCTTGAATCCGTATGTGCAGACCTTTGAGTGTCACTCCTCACACGTACCAGGTTTTCTCGGGGTACTCTAGTTAAAACTCTTAAACTCCTAATATACAGACGTCAGGGTCGGAAGGGAACCCATAACCTGCATACCAGGCGAGGTAGTTAACATCTCGCCATGCGAAGCCAAACGCTCATCAACGGATTTGGCCAAACATTCCAATGCAGGACCCTCCTGAAAAAAAATACCCTGAGACTCGGTGAAGCTTTTCTGGGTAAATTTAGGGTGTTAATAGTGTATAATTGTAATTAAGGAGTGGGCCAACCCTGCCTATCGCTCAATCGGACAGATGTTTACATCCCGCAAAGCGGTATGCACTTTTATCAACTCCAGGGGGTGATGATGGGCTAAGTCGTCTACCTCTTCATTTCAAAATCACAACTTTTCAGTTGTGAGTCAAGCTCTCCGTAATCATCAGCCACGATCGGTCCATTTACGGATGAAAGACTCGCCAAGCCGTTGCATAATTATTTTACTTATAATTGCATTTTAAACAACCGGTGACTAACATCATCTGTTCTAAACACTTCACAGACTAATAAACACATTCCTTGATCTGAACTAGACTCCCCTGGGTACGAGAATTCTCCTCCAAGCCAAACTCATACCGCTGAAGGAATACTCTTAACACGATTTTAAATCTCGCCCTCCAATGACAGCACTACCCGGCACCATGGATCTGGGATCATTATCTCCATACACAAAAGAACGGTAGTAATTGGGCTCGAAATGATTAACTCTCCCACGCTTCAATGAATTGTCACAAATGGGATCTCAATTCGGTTCTGTAATTGATTCTTTTCAACACTTTACAACTGATTTTGAAAATGCTCATGCGTTTTAGCTCTGTCCATCTCCTCTAACGTGGGGGGGGGGGGGGGCGGTGGTGGTGGGGGGTTTCACAATAACTCTTGAAAATATAATCCAATATGAATTAATCTTTAGTATAAAGTTGCGGAGCTATTCGGGACTGGCCCTATTAAAAACCGGCCACATTTGATGAAAGGGCTGTCCATGCGTGAGTACGTGTGTGTGTGGGGGGAGCGGTAGTGTAGCGGTTAGCGCGCTGCGCTATGAACCTGGCGACCCGGGTTCGATTCCCGCTAATGGCCAAACACCAGTGACTATTATTTGAACCGGTCCTGGGGCTCCCCTAGGTCGACTCAGCCTTAAATGAGTACCTGGTGCGGTGTGTAAACATCGCCACTGAGGAGACAAAGGCGGTCGGGCGTGGTGCTGGCCACCCACCCCCTCGTGTGCCGTGCCGGCCTTCATAGGTGCTCGCTAACAGCACTTGCCCCTACAGTCTGTTAAGGCTGTACGGGGATCTTTGTCTTGTGGGCAGTAGTAGTGTAGTGGTTAGCGCACCACGCCACGAACCCGGCGACCCAAGTTCGAGTCCCGCTCACGGCCAACACCGGTGACGATTCACATGAACCGGTCGTGGGCCCCCGAAATCGACTCAGCCTCAATCATCGCCACTTGGGAGACAAAGGCGGCCGGGCGTGGTGCTGGCCACCCACTCCCTCGTGTGCCGTGCCGGCCTTCATGCATGCTACTTGCTCACGCCACTTGCCCCAACAGTCTGTTCAGGCTATGCCGGGGGGTGGGGTCTTTGTGTGCGTACGCGCGCTCAGATCTGGGCTTTTCCCACCGTGTCGCCACGGTGCCGCGTCTCGCCGACACCTACCCGGAGCTGGCCACCATGCTGCTGTCACGTGCGCCGTCGCCCCTGCTGCTCGCGGAGGGCACCGTCGTGGACCCGGCTCGCGCCCGAAAGCTCCAGCGCCTGGAGGCCGTCCGCCGTGCCGAGGGCGGCCTCGCCAGCGGCGCCAGCGCGTTCGGAGTCCTGGTTAGTTTTTCCGGCACCCCCCCCCCCCTCCCTGCCCAGTCCGTTCCGGTTGGCGTGGCTTACGAAGCGAAACAGCGGCTCATCGTTGGCTACGTGGGACGATCTTACCCCCTATTAGCATTTCTATGAAATGAAATGCTTTGGGGACTGCATTTTTATTCCCAGAATAGATTTTCTTTTTATCTCCATTCTTACCCGATGTTTTTCAACCATGGTTGAAAGCGTTTAAGCATTAGTTTTATCTGTCTCTCTGTGTATCTGTCTGTAAAGGGGGGGGGGGAGGGGGGTGGCGGGGGCACGTTAACCCCAGAAAAGATTATCAAATATGAACGAAACGTTACCGTGAAGTTGTGCTGTTATTACGAACTTGTCCTGTAGAGAACCGACCACGTTGATCGAACGGTTTGCCCCACAGCCTTCCCCTAGCAGACCCCCGTTGTCTCATCGTGGCACACGGACAGACGCACCGCTTTGCCGCGGCGCCTGGAGCGAACGCGACCGTTGTTGATGCTGATTAAATACTTCCCAAGACAAGCTGCACATCGGAAAGCCATGCCTCCATGGCAGTTGTTGTTTTCGTCGTGCTCCCTCCTTTGGGCTGTCATTCCATCGCCAGCCTTGTCCGTTGGCCAACTACCCATTTCTAAGGGACAGGTCCTTCCCGGGCCCACCTTGCTAGCAAATCGATACTTTGTCTCTAAGTCGTGTTTCGTCTCTTTTCCATATTTTCCTGTTTTGTCACAGTATAATTCCCCAACACACAGTCTCTCAATCCCCCATTTGTGTTCTTTCCCGTTACTTTTTTTGTCCGTCCCATATTCTTTTTCAGGCAGGCGATATGCACCGATTGGAAACTTCACTCTTTGGGCATTTCGACGTGCTGTTATTTTCCGTGATCAAATTCGCATTTCAAATATCGCTCCAACCTGCTCTTGCTCGACTCTTTCGTAATTTTAATCCCCCGTCCACCTTCGATGACTGGCCTAGATATACACACTCCGTTGCGATGCTTCATTGCACGCCTGCTCATTGTCGGATGAACCTCCTCCTGACCGACTGCAGTTCATTAATGAACATTGAAGGAAGCTGACGTTATCCGACCTCACGCATCCATTCATTACGCGTTCTTAACGCAAAGTACCGATTGTTCTGCCTGCAGAACTAAAGACCCCCATCAGAGGCTGATTATTCTTTAGTCTACTGTCTAATGTTCTCATGAGAAACCTTGCTTTCACTGTTGTCTTAAAGACCAACATCGAGGCTTGTGTGTCACTTTCTTGACTAAAGAGCCCTTAAGAGACATTAGTCTATTGGCATCAAGGGCCTTAACTAATACTGGTCCGTTGTCTAAAGATGTCATCAGATGATTGGACTCTGTGCATTAATTCAAGACCACATCAGGTGTGGGGAATGTGACAAAATAAGCACTCGGATGATTACGCCTCCTTCACTGATCTGTCTTTCCGTGTAAAACAATGAAAGTATGTTATACACATCCCATCAGAGACACGGCCTTCTGGGAGTGCATCATTTCAGCAGCATTGCTTCAACACAAGAAAACACTGAAACCGTTTCGACATTGAGTGTCTCATCAGAAGCATCAGGCTTGCTTGAACCAAGTTGGTGAAACTAACAGATATTTACAGGCAAAATCCGGGCAGTTATGTCAGTATTTTTTACAAAAGCTTCATGAGTATCATCGTGACGGCAACAGCAAACACTAAAAAACACCCATTACAGCCGTAGTTTGCACGTTTTTGTTTCAGTCGCTGCAGGATATAAATGTCAGGCGAAAGACGGCAACGGCGATGAGTTTTCTTGTTTATAAGAGTGGGGGCGGTGGAGGGGGAGAAGTAATCTACATGGTGAGCTGTTCTTCATGCACAACGAATCACGCATTACGGCCGGAACGCCGAAGCAGAGCGGGCACGCTGAGCTCGCGAGCCCTGAATTAACCGCACTGCCCATTACAATAGCCGTAATGCAAGGACAGCGATGGGATCGTCTCCGCTTCTGTCCCCCCTGCACTACGGCTCGCTGTAGAACCCCCCCCCCCCCCAGCAGTGCGACTCACGACCTCCCTCTCCTCTCTGTACCAAAGCAAGGGCCGGGATCGTCACTGGCAGGAGTCATTTATCCACCGCATCCTCCAGATCTCTCTCCGCTCCTGTCCTCCTGCTGCACTACATCTCACCGAAGAACGGACCCCAGCATGAATCACAGCCTCCCGTTCCTCTCTGCACCAAGGACCCGGACCGTCACTGCCAGGCGTCGTTTCTCCGCGGCATCCTCTGTATCTCTCTCCGCTCCTGTCCCCCTGCTGCACTACAGCTCCGCGAATAGCTTTTCCCAGCATGAATTCACAGCCTCTCGCTGCTGTCTGCACCATGGACCAGGATCGTCATTGCCAGGCGTCGTTTCTCCGCGGCATCCTCCCTATCCCCATGTTCCCCATGTCTCGATTGACAAAGGGCTGTACACGTGTTACAATTAATGGGTTCACATGACCCCTGCAGTGACGAGTGGCCAATGTAAAAATAAATTATTTAAACACGAATCAAATTCTGGATCACGGTAATTCCTTGGATCGCTGGCCGTGGGGACTGATGTACAATTCAGTACAACACAATTTGGATTTGCATATCATCTTAATTGTGACTGCATCTCACTGTACACAGACAGTCTACATAAATAGTGGGCAGGTTTTAATTTGTAGCGAGAGGGCCAGAGGACAAGGAGGGTCTTGAGCCTACAGTCAAATGGGAGCAGGCAGTCAACAGCACAGATGGCTAAGGAAGGGAGTTCAGACCATGGTAGGAGTAGCAGAGGAGGATGAGTGGAGTGGTTACACCCTCGTGTACACACACCAGACCCTCCGCACACACAAATTAGATACCGCCTGCATGCACTTCACACTGCCAGATGCCACCATCTCTCTGGTTGTTTTGTTGTCATCTCCCACCCATTCCATCCAGCCCAAGCCAAGCCATTCTCTTTACCACCGATTTTTGTCCCGATTTTGCTGTGTTGGAGTCACGTCACGTGAGACGAAGAGCCCATTCGTAGCACCCGCGGGGGAGCAGCTCCCACCCTCCCTGTTTGAGAACGGCCCGCAGAAGTTGGTACCACAGAGCTACCTGCGAGATCCCTTCAAGTGACTTCTTGTCGTCCACGCAAGGAGGGGGCAGCGCTTTCCCACCCGCCCTGCCACCGGGAGTAAATGTCCTTTATATCAGCGGTCCCCAAACTTTTTGGCACCAGGGACCGGTTTCGTGGAAGACGATTTTTTCACGGACCGGGGAGGGTGGGGGGTTTCATCATTGGGTCTTTGCCCCTTTTCAAAGAAGCTCTCCAGCGACGTTTTTTTTTTACTCATTTTGGCTACTAGGGGTTAGAGCTTGTGGTCCTTATCAACACTGTGACTGTGACAAGTGCGCAGTGCGGGAAAGAGGCGCGGACGGAAGTGGCAAATAAAATAATGGGCGGGCCACGCGCAGACTCACCGCTCAACTCCTGCTGTGCGGCCCGGTTCCTAACAGGCCATGGACCGGTACCGGTCCGCGGCCCGGGGGTTGGGGACCCCTGCTTTATATGACAGTCAAACTGATATTTTACGTATCAGAGCTGTACATTTAACCAAATCAGGTGCAGACCCAAATGTAATGGAATTTTAGTTTTTTTTCTGCGCAGTCAATTGCTAACGGGGCTGAAGACAATCATCTCACGACACTCGAGAACCCGATTTAATGTCGCGCGGCAGAACCCCTGGATTCAAACGCGCGATCTCAGTGGCGCCAGCTCCTCAGCGCTGCTCCGACCTCAGAGCCACCTCATCAGCAATGCCATTCTTGGCGGCAGAAAAGGCTGGGGCAGCAGCGAGGGCCTCTCCTCCTGTATCGTCAATGTGACGGCTGTGTTTTTTTCCATCCTCCTACCCTCCCCCACCACTTCTACTCGCCCCCCCCCCGCTCCCAATGAGCCCACAAGGCCATTACCATCTGTATGAGTCATAATTAGGAGTCGGGGTCAAAAGCGACACGGTTAGGATCGCGCCGAAGCTTTTGTTGGGATTAAATAAGAATCCGTCAAATCCCCCCTTGAGAGGCAGGTGACTGCTCTTAAGAAAGCGTTGCGGTGCAGCGCGATGAATCACGGTAATGCGCTCTGTTTAGGGCGTTCATTGGCTTCCGCTCCCATAAACCGCTTGCGAGTGGGCGCGTGCCTTCGTAACGTGAAGCTCGCTTATTAATTCCCATCGGGAGGGTGAGCGCCAGCGTTGTTGTGCGCTGCGCGTGTGTCTGTTTGGCAAGAGTTATAATAGCGGTTCGGGCATTGCGGTTATGAGCTCGGCAAACCCGAGTTCGATTCCCGCTCACGGCCAATATCAGTGACTATTTATCTGAACTGGTCCAGGGCTTCCCCTAGGTCGACTCAGCCTCAAATGCGTACCATGTGCGATGTGTAAAACATCGCCACGAGGGAAACAAAGGTGGCCGGGCCTGGTGCTGGCCACCCACCCCCTCGTGTACCGTGCCACCGTTCATAGGTACTCGCAAACAGCACTTGCCCCAACAGCCTGTGTAGGCTGTCTGGGGGATCTTTGTCTTTGTGTGCCTGTGTGTGCACGTGCGTGTCGGCTGGAGATTATTAGCCCCTTTGGTAGGGCCCGGATGTGTCAATTTAACGTAACGAATCGTGGCAGTATTTTAAATATGGGCACTGGAGCGGCGGGATATGGAATTGGCATGTGATTTGTTAAAGTGCAGTTTTATAGTGAGGTGACCTGCTCGTGCAGATGCGAAGGTAAAGCACAATACATTACCGGCAATAACACACGAATGGGTGACCTCGTTATAGATTCCAGAAAAACGTCCTCATGCTCAAAACGAGTGACATGCAGCGCTGAACTCTGCATGTTAATCCCACGTCGGCGGTGGACATTCCACGCATTTCTGATAGATCGCCAGGTCGGTCAGTCCCGTCTCGAGGAGTGCATTCCCGTCACACGTGGTGCCTGTCCCACCCGGCCCCAAGAGGGTATGACGGCGATGCCGACGGCAGCGACGACGGCGGCGGTGGTGAGAAGCCGATGCCGGGTTGGCCCCGATTGGGATTTGAGCTCACAATGCCTCGTGGGTGGGGGCACGTCCCCCCCACCCACCCACCAGAGGTCGCAAACGGGTTTTGATTCCTTACCCGTACCCGGCCGCACCAGGGTCGCAAACGGGTACCCGTACCCGTACCCGGCTGTACCCGTACCCTACCCGTACCCGGCCGGGTACGGGTAGGGTACGGGTAAGGGTACCTGATTGCGACCTCTGGGATGAAGCCATGTTGCAGGCGCGGGTGGGTTGATTCTAGGAACTTGAATTGTGAGAAGAGACAAGACGTTGGGAAATGAGTGACAAACGGTTACTCACCAGTGACTCACGGTCTACCCGTACCCGTACTCGGCCGCACCAGGGTCGCAAACGGGTACCCGTACCCGTACTCGGCCGGGTACGGGTAGCAGGGTATCGGGTAGGGTACGGGTATCGGGTACCCGGTTGCGACCTCTGCCACCCACCCAACAACCCCTGCCGAGCGCAACCAAATTGCACAGCGTCCCAGGGTCCGTGAGACCTTGGACTTGTTCGTGAAATAACAAAGATGCGATTCGAGCAACGTTCAATTCACCGGCGCACACGACGATGTCCCTACGCCTCCAATGTTCGTGGGTTTTTGAAAAGAAAAAACCACTGGCACAGACTTTGTTCGGCTCGGTACAGAACAGGTTGTTTTCGCGTTCAACGGTAAACGTTTCGTCGAGGGGAACAAGTTTGTCAGCGTGGCACACGAGCAAGTGATGGATCCCGGAGTGATTTACGCTAAATGAATGAGCTTTGTGTTGCTGTTGATAACGCGCTCCCTTGCGCCGCCGCTGTTACGGTCCCATGCGCCCGATGCCAAATCTCTGCCGCCCTTTGGCTTCCTGGGTTTTTTTTGTTGATGCGGCGACTTTTATTTTTTTTTGGCATCGGTGCGTCTGGTGCATGTTGCCGCATTCGTACGTACATCTTATCGCCGTCACTCCTGTGCCCAATGCTCGCTTGATGTTCCTCTGTATTACTCCATGCGTGGGGGGGGGGGGGTCTTTCCCCCACCCTCTGATTGTTCCTAAATGGTGAGATTCGGGGTGTGTGAAACTCAGTGTGTGTTTTTTTTTCACGCGACTTGCGAACACGCGCACAACACACGCAACACCTGTTTGCTCGTAGATAAGGAGGTCTAATTTTGTGTATTGGCAGACAACCAGCTTAACGCTGATGGTTTTGTGGGAAAACAGACTAATCGGTAGCAGGCTCCGCAGGAAATGCATCCGAATTGCTCTGCGGTTTATCACGAGAGCCGAAATCTTGGCCTTCTTGAAAAATGCCTTGACATTGCCTCTCTTGCTAAACCCGAGCTGTTTACGACTGCACAGAGAGGATGCCCGCCAGTCTTAGAGCAGCCTGCTCCACCTCATTACCCTCTTTCCCCTTCCTCCGCCTTGCGTGCAACAGTAAAAACACACCGTTATCCGACCTATTACCCACTCGTCCTCTCACTCTAGAGGTTTGTTTGGGGTTAGACCGCGTGAATATGAATGTGTTGGGAAAAACCCGCCCACCGCCCGACACACAGCCAATTAGTGAGGTTGTCTTCTTGGTTCTTTCGGTAAAGTCACGTAGAAGGGAAATAATAAAATAATAAAAATAAAACATAATACAATAATTCTCACGACGTTTCTCTCATTCAGACGCTGTTTTTCCGACAGACCTGTTCTTCACCTGAGGACGGCTGCTTGCATTGTGGCCGAAACGTCGTGAGAATTATTTTATTATGTTTTATTTTTATTATGTTTTATTTTTATTATTTTATTATTTCCCTTCTACGTGACTTTACCGAAAGAACCAAGAAGATGAATCCCTGCAGTCACGAAAGCTTTAAATCGAAATAGTGAGGTTGTCACATAAAGAGAACGTGGCCAATCCGTTACTAGTTCAGCACACCGGTGTGTTGGAGAGTAAACCCACAACATTTACAATTTGAGTAAATGTTGTGTATTTACTCTCCAACACACCGGTGTGCTGTACTAGTCACAAATTGGCCACGTTCTGTTTACGTGACAAACCTTACTAATTGGCTGTGTCGGGTGGTGGCGAGTTTAACGACACATATTTACACGATCTAACCCCCAGCAACCTCTATTATGGATGATATTGGTCGCGAAAGCCCAACCCGTGTTAAACTCGTCTTCCCGTTTGTGCCGCTGTGCCGACCTGCAGGTTGTCATATTGTCCGCGCGTCCGTTCTTTCCTCTCGTCCGCATTCGTACGAGGTCAAACGGACGAAGCCGGGCGTCGCAAAAACTGTGTCTCTGAAGTTGTGGAATGTTCATCTTGTTATTCTGTGCTTAGTTTGCTGTCTCTCCCTCCGCACCTCCCATGAGCATGGTTGGTTCGGTACGGTGTGAAAACAAATTTTAACGTACATACATATCTGCACTTTCGTGTGGATAAAGGGTATCCTGGAGTTGTGGATGGGGGTGTCTACTACCTCGCCTGGTATACACGAGGTTGTGGGTACGATCCCGACCCTAAGCCTTGTTGTATATTCGGAGTTTGCATGTTCTCCCTGTGGTCGCATGGATCTTTCTCCGGGTCCACAGGTTTTTCCCTCCAACATGCGCGTGTGGAGTATTTGGCTGCTATAAATTTCCACGCGATAAGTCACTCCGCTATGGCTGTCATTTGTGGCCAGGTTCGACCCGACCGGCGTGCTTCACCCGTCCTACAAATCCACACACAGTCCAAGCTCCCCGCCCTTGTGTGTTGTGTCGTCCCCCCCCTTCACGCACGTGCCCGCCCGCCCGTCAGAGCCAGCGGGAGGAGCGCGCCCGGCGTCTGCGCGACCTGCGCGTGGTGGAGGCCTACCGCGAGCGGCTCAGGCCCGAGAGCATTGCCAACGCGCTCGTGCGGGCGCTGACCACGCGGCACGCGCTGCACGCCGCGCCCGGCACCGCCGAGTTCTTCGAGTTCCCGCTGCGCAACCCCCACTCCACCCCCCAGACGGTCGACGTGCAGAGCACCGACCCTGAGCTCAGGTGAGTTGATGCCTGCCACAGAGGGCTTACAGGTCCCTTCGTCGTCTTGCATCATCACCATCCCCCGCCCCACCCAGCTCCCGCCCCACTCCCGCGCCTACCTGAGTGACTTTGACCGTGCAAATTTGTGGCCACTCGTTCAGTCACTGCACCTCCGCCCTCTGGAATTCACTCTTCTCTTCGGCGCACCTCCTCCCCCCCCCACCTCTCCCCCCCCCCCCACCTCTCCCCCCCCCCACCTCTTCTCTCTTCTTTCCCCTCCTCCCTCCTCCTCACTTCCCCTCATCACATCACTTCTTGGAACTCATCTATTTGATGGCCGTGCCTGCTGACCTCCTTAGTTATCCCGTTCCCCCGTGCTCGGTGTGCAATGCGAACGCTCCCAACTGTGCGGCAGTCCCGAGACGTGCGGTCGTCTGATTTAGCCCACTGCGAATGAAAAGTTGTTGTCGGCAGGGAGAAGTTGTTGTCGGCAGGGTGGATGAGGAGAGCCGGGTGAGTTCCCGGGAATCAAGCCGTGCGAACTGACGGTACCGTTTGCGGCACTCGTGGAGCGTTTACTGCCTCGCTTTGTTTGGCCCGGCTCTCCCTTGCGAAGAGACCAAGTCTCAATGGGATGTTAAAGACATACTCTTTGGTTCTTTCGGTTAAGTCAGGTAGGTATAAAATAAAATAAACTTTTTTTATAATAAAAAAAAAAATTAAACCACGACGTTTCGGAAGCAACACAAGCTTCCGTCAGCAGGTGGGAAAACCACAGCAAGAAATAGTGGACAAGAGCCGTTCATAGCAAGATATTATACACGGAAGAGGGGGGTGGGGAGGAGCCAGGGAGGAGAAGCAAGGGGGCGGGCGGGGGGTGCGGGGTGATGGTGGGAGAGGTGTGAAGGTACAACATTTCCAACGAGTGGACTGAGGATGTTAAAGATCTGCGGGAAAGTCCTTTGTCAATCAGCAGCTGGGTCGAGGCCTCTGCTCGCCATATCAGAGGGATGTTTGACTGTACTTTGCCGAGCTGGACAGTGCTGATTGGTGAAGGGGTTGAACTCCATGACCCATTCAGATATTACGGGCCATTGATTGTTAGCCGCGGGTGTGGAATCGAACGCGGGCCAGGTGCCTTGGAAGAGGTGGGGAGTTACCCGCACTTTATCCCACCACATTTGTGGTATGTACATATTTTTCTGCTGGGCGTACAGAGGTGGTGAGGTTTCAGAAACGTGCCGTTGATTCCTTATTTTGACACGTGCAAAATATGGATCCGTTAACATTGTTAAATTAATCAGCACGTTGGTATTCGCAAATTAAATACTGTACAAGCTCATCATCAGCAGAAGCAGAATTTCCTATTTATGACGAACAAATCCATTTGAGGCTTATCTGTTTTCGAAAAAAATATATATTTTATTCAAACGCTTCCACTCAAGGTCACGCCAAAACAGAGGCCCGCCGCAGTATTGCCTCCGATTTTCATGTCATTCTCGTGGTATCGTTTTTCTTGATCTTGCTTTTTTGTTCGTATGCACATTGCCAATTTATCCCAACACTTCCTGCTTTCCTTTGTTTTTTTTTCACTCCTGTGAGATGGGACAAAGAAAAGCTGCAAGCTAACAGCAGATAAGCCAAGCACGTGACAGTTTTCCTTTTTAAAAAAATATCCGTATCGTACACCTGATTTTAATTTGTAAAATCTTTTTTTGTATTTCCATCCCCATCCCCACCCAATTGTAACTTCATTGGCATAATCATCGTCATCATCAGCCTTGTTAAATCCATTTGTGGATGAAGGCCTCCCGAAAGCCTGCTGCCACTTCTCACAATCTTGCGATCTAACAATCCATCCAGCTCCTGCACGTGAACCGATCTCATCGCTCCATCTCCTCAGTAGGCATCCTCTTGGATGCGTTCCATTCCTTGACTTGCCTGCAGGATGGGCTGCCACGGTGGCGAGATGTTAACTACCTCGCCTAGTATACAGGAGGTTGTGAGTTCAAACTTGACCCTAACTCCTCTTGTATATTTGGAGCTTGCGTGTTCTGCCCGTGGTCGTGTAGATTTTTCTCTGGGTCCTCCAGTTTTACCCTCCACATTTAGAATCAACATGCATTTAGTGTATTTGCCTGATATACATTTCCACATGATAAGCCACTTTGTTGTTGAGCTTTCATTTGTGGCCAGGTCACTTCTGAATAAGAGTTATATAGGTTACCTGGTTATATTAAATATTGTTTAGTTTTGGTTTAGGATGGTAGAGGGCAGGTTGTCTCAACGATTAAAGGGCCACACTTTCAGTTCCGTTTGAGCTGGTGGTCTGGATAAGGCTGAGAGCTTTTGTTCAGACAATGCTTGCACACCTTTGCGTGCTGCTAAATCCATTGGAGTGGCACACAGAGGTTGGTGACAGAGGGGAAAACCTGATGCCGATTTCTGGGATATCGTAACAGCGGTGCTTGGATGATGGGTTGTGACTGCAACCAAAGGGTGCCATGGCCAAAGTGTGGCAGGCCTCAGCAGCAATGGCTAATGATGACCTCTTGATCTCCAACTGTTTTTTTTCTTTCAAGTAACCATCTCAAAGGTGCCAAGTAAGCTATGGCTCGGCATATGCACCGTCGGCAACGTCATGGCGGACTTGTGGCGATTTAGAGGGATGAATTTCATTAAAAGGATTTTTATAAGTGTTCGTTGTTTCATCGACCTAGCTCAAACTTCCGCCTCATGATTATCCTTTCACAATGGATGATATTAATGAAAACAAATAGTGTCCACTGCCTTTTTTATGCGGAGTAAAATACCTTCACGGCCACTGTGTTTGCGCTGTGGGGTTGTCACGAGCTTTTTAAGCCAAAGATAAAGCACATGACGCTTCCTGAGATACAGTGGAAACTCAACGACTCGAAGAGGCAAAGCAAGACGGCCTATACGGGAATACTAAAAACTAGTGGGAGAAGTGCATGCATGCAGCCAGCCTGCCTGGCTGCCTTGTTATAAACCGCACACCCTTAAAAGTAGCTCTCCGATATGACACGAGGGCCCCCTGGTGCCCGCACGTCGCATGGCTTAATAATCGTTGCATCAAACGTAACCCCTTCAGTAGAGTTGTCATTTCCTTACTGGCCTTCACATACCTTTTCCCCACTCCAACGTCAGTGCTGCAGGCCAATGCAGCTTTATCATTTTTATGAATGGCAGTCAAGTTTACCCGGTGAAACGTTAACTACCTCGCCTGGGGGAGTGGTCAGCACCAGGTTCGGCTGCCTTTGTCTCCCTGGAGGCAATGCTTACACACCGTACAGGCACACATTTGAGGCTGAGTCAACCTAGGGGAGGCCCGGGACCAGTTCAGATAATCGCCACCGGCGTTGGCCATGAGCGGGAGTCGAATTCGTGTCGCCGGGTTTGTAGCGAAGCACGCTAGCCGCTACACTACCGCTCCCCCACCCCCCCCGACACACACACGCGCATGCTCGCACAGTTACCCCCAACTGTGCACGACCCACAACGGCGACCGTGCCCGACCCCTGTTTGCCGTCGCAGGGTGATCGTGGACGTCGAGGAGTGGCGCCACTTCAAGCGGCTGACGCGCAAGACCACGCCGCTGGAGGAGGGGCTGTTCGACGTGGCCGGCGGCGACGAGCTGAGCCCGCAGCTCTTCCTGAGGCCTCGTGAGACGGTGCTCGTGCCCTTCAAGTACCAGAGCTTCGAGGCGGAGCGTGGCGGCGACGCACCGCAGGTTCTCCCGACGCAGACACGCCGGGCGCGTGCGCTCGCCCGGACTCTCGGGCGAGCGGGTTCGGTCATCGCCCGCACCCGCGCGCAGCTTACAATTCGCTTCCCGGTCACAAAAATTGTTTGGCCGCTGCCGGGAGCGATCAACACGTTCGTCAATAATGCGGCGGCTTTGAAAGGGAACATGTATAAGAGGAGACTTTTTGGGCAACGGCTCTTCTTGATAGCACGTCAATAGAGAGTCCAGAGAGATGGAGTGGACGGTAAGAGTTGGAGACTGCACTTTACACCATGGGATCTGAATAATAATAATGATATTTTAAGGTATTTCATCATGACCAGTTTTTATATTGGCATATGAAAAGTTACACAATTAGCAGCGATTGAGTAACAGACAAGACTCTGCAATAATCAATTGTGTATTACTGCATGAACTCATGTGTATTAAAAATATTATAAAGTAAAATGATAAAAATGTTGCTGGTACATTGCATTGTGGCTGGCCCTGTTTCAGTGAACAAACCCAACATTTGCATAATTCACATAATCCACTTAGTGATGCATTCCTGGGCCTAATTATCACGGAAAAAGTTTAGAGAGACTCTCAATCAATGGTAGGCTTAATAATGAGTTGTGATTATTAAGAACCAACCGACTGCCTCTCACATCTCAAGATTTTTTAAAGGTAAAGGTGCCACACTGAAAAGTCTCCCTCATGCCCCTGCTGGCAGAATGCGCCTCCTGCTACGACACTTGGCCTCCTCTTCTGCAGTGGCCAAATGCGGTGGGCATACCCATACTTTACCCCACCACACGTGGCCTACCGATCAAAGAACTGTGGTGGCATTTATAATTCTTGGTGCCACAGAGACAGGTGAATTTAAGGAACTTTGCCCATTGTTTCAACTGCCACATCAAAAAAACTCAAGGAACCGGTGACCTGGATTTGCAAGTCCATCGTGGTAGCTGTTACACCAAATCACCTGGATCTTGTAAAATCTCCAGTGCTTAGAAGAGTTAAGCCTGGATAATTAGGTTGTGGGGGCTACGTGGCAGGCATCAGAGGGCATTGTAAAATACATCGGCTTACTGTAGTTCTATTTTTTCACATTAATCCTTCCCACTTTAAACCCCCACTGGTCAGCATGAGGAAGTGTGGTCAAATAATCCCCATGAACTGCACGATGTGGATAGGCCCTCATCCGGCAGTGGATTGACAGAGGGATGTACATACACATGGGGAGATAGTAAGTTGGTTAACCGATGACCAGGATTTGACCTCCAACATTAGTGCCACCTGGACAAATATGTTATGAATTAAAAATGTTAAGTCATTTTATTCCCTCGTGTGCATTCTTACAAACCCAAGTAAAATGTCGCTCAGCGAAACATTTTCTAAGATTTTTCTCACGTGAAATCGAATCGAACGTGCTTGTTTTATTCACTGGCCATTCGTGGTGAGGCGGAGACCGTGAAATAAGCCGCACTAGAAGCCCCGATATAATCACGGGTGGCTGGCTGGTTTTCATCCCAGGATCGCGCCAATGTGGGCTGAGTGTCCTGACATCGCCATTACGCTGCCCTCGAGCCACCAATCCTCCTAATGTTGCAATTAAATGCATCGGACACGCAGATGTAGGTTGTCCATTACGGCCGGGTTTGCTCCATTTGACGAAATCTGCCGCTGCTGTAATTGCACCCTGGCTAATCGTGGCTATTGACCAGAAAGCCAGACCTAAGAGCCACGTTTACATACTTTGGTCACGTGGAGGACTCAACCAAACACAATTCTTCAGAGTCAATACTAAAGATACCTTCTTGTGTGAAATCCATCAGGGTCACACTATGAATAGACTGACCCCTGCCATGAGAATGCGGAATTTACACTGCCGACTCCGGCAACCGAAAAGGCATGAGCACTGCCCCCCTCTATCGCTTAGCTCGAGCAGGAGCACTCTCCAAAAATGTTCGTCCCCAAAAGGAACGGGATGTTTCTTCGCAAAGAACCACGATGAGTGATTGAAAGGTCCCAAGGCCTGACACACGAAGCAATGAGTGACCTTGATGAATCTCTGATGTTTCCCCACGTGGTCCCCTTGAAGTGTTAACGTCTATCAGTGTTCCACGGCTTTAATTCCCCACAACACTGAATAACTTTTTGTCTCGCCTTGCTAACCACTCGTTCACATCTTCTTGGTTCTTTCGGTAAAGTCACGTAGAAGGGAAATAATAAAATAATAAAAATTAACATACTAAAATAATTCTCACGACGTTTCGGCCACAACGCAAGCATTTATTATTTCCCTTCTACGTGAATTTACCGAAAGAACCAAGAAGATGAATCCGTGCAGTCATGAAAGCTTTAAATCACTCGTTCACAGTGCGTGTCGTTTCATTGTCACGAGAAAAATAATTAACTAGAAACACATCTTATTGTGCTTATTCACTCGGGAAAGCCTCAAGACTTTATTTTTTTAAAGTTTTCTCAGTCGGGGGGGGTGATGTTGTTACAATGTGTACTCCCAATTGAATAGTTTGCAGGAAATCTTTTCAGCATCTCTACGTCTGTTTTTTTGGCCCGTTCCGAGTTATATTGTGTGGGAGTTTATTTTTAAGCGATGGGAGGAAACCGAAGAACCCAGAGGGAACCCAGGCACAACACAAACTCCATGCAGAAAGGCACCTGAGTCGGGAATTGAACCCAAGGCGCTTCTTGCTGCGAGACATGAGTGTCACCAATGCAGCATTACCCACATTTTTTAAATGTATTAACTTATTTTTTCACGTTTCATCTAACACTTAGGGGGAAAGTAGATCAGGGATTTGTTGTTTAATGTTGATTCGTGAACTCGAAATACATACATCGAGTTTCATGTTTACTCGTGTATATGGCTTGTTTTATTCATATGTGTTGTATGTAATCAGACCATGTCTTCACAATTGCCACCAGAGGTACATCCGTTATGCGCAATGATTTAAAAAAATATTTCATTCTTCAATTGAATCGTGACCCCGGTTTGTGATTTAGTCATCATGCCACTTTTAAGTACTGCTTTAAGTTGTCACTCTTTCATTGGAGCTTTTGTCAGAGCACCTTCATCTAGACAGCTGATCTCTGATGGAGTGGCTATAAAATAGACTAACAGACCGGTCTCTGATGAGATGACCATACAATAGACTAACAAACCATTCTCTGATTGGAATACAAACAACAGATGATTGCTCTTTTGTTGACAGGGTCCCGAGGACCCCAGCAGACCGTGGGTTGCCGCGATGACTTCCCAGCAGCAGGCGTCCGCACGGCGGGGAAAGGAAATCAAGGTACGGCGGTGGCCATATGGGCGTTGAGTGATTCGCGAACTCCCGAGCGAAGCTCCTCGATGGAGAATGCCCAATAATTTGGCAGGCGGACCGAGCGCGATACTCACATGTGCCCGAGCTTTTCACATTATATTTCTCTCCCATCCAAAAGCACCAATACTGACGCTGAGTGTCGTACAAACTTTCCCAAGGGGTCGGCCGTTTACAACTTCTTTACAACTGCCAATCAGACCGGCCACTTGGCTCGATCCAGAGTGATCTCTCTCTTCAGTTTATCGTGAGTCTCGTCACTCAATCTTTATTGGTGGTCTTCTTTGGCTTACGCTCCTCTGTGACCACCTTAGAGCTCCTTTCTTTGCCTTTCTCAAATGATGCCCCCACCACCTCTGTCTTGGTGCCACGAACCAGTTCCCAGCATTTAGCTCACAACCTGATTTGTTTTTCACGGTTTCAATTGTTGTAAAGCCAGCGACATTTCAATATAACCGACATTTCGATTACTTTTTCAGGGAACTCACCATAATGAATGTTAAATGCGGGAAAATACTAAATCTTGGATCACAGTGATTGTGTCAATGGGGGCTTTTAGGGGCCCTTGTTGTCTCTCTGCCTGTCTTGTTTGTAATATGAGCTCGCGCTAACGCCCATGAAAGTAATCTAATGTTCGTGCAAAGTCGTGTTGTTGTTAGACAATTACTCGAGAAACAAACGGGCAAATTGATCGCGCGTCACGTGGTCGCCTCCTCTCCCAATCACACGGTTAGTGTGCGACGTCTTTATTTCCACCAATGAATCACCTCCGAGGACATGCGCACGTTGGAAAGCAGCGTTGCGGAATCCATTGCGTGTGCATGACTTTTCTTCCTTGTTTTTGTTCTTTTTTTCTATTTTCTATCGCCACTCAAGACAGCCTCGCCTGCGATGCCGACTCGTGACGTCGGTTACAAGAATAAGCATAACGATTTGTTTGCCACAGAGCTGCCCTCGAATTCCTTTGTCGGGGCGCTCTTCCCCTTCCAACCCAGCTTAAATATACGCTGCCAAGCCTTGTGGTGTTCATTCAGACGCTGTCTTTATGACAGACCTGTTCTTCACCTGAGGACAGCTGCTTGCGTTGTGGCCGAAACGTCGTGAGATTTATTTTATTATCTTTTATTTTTATTATTTTATTACTTTCCTTCTACGTGACTTTACCGAAAGAACCAAGAAGAAGAGCTGTTCTCGTTTACGTCGGGCTGTCTCAGAGCGCTTCCTGCGCGATAAGCGACTTAAATCGCATCTCATCTCAATACATTTAAAATGGGCACCCCCAGTGGCAGCTGTCCCTGCGCAGCACAAAGGCACCTTGGCTCCTGGCCTGCAAGCGGACATGAGCAATCCTTAACAAATAACTTGTGGGTAAACCTTGACTTGAAGCTTTCGTGACTGCAGGAATTCATATTCTTGGGTCTTTCGGTAAAGTCACGTAGATAGGTTTAAAGAAAATAACAAAAGAACAAGAAAAAACTACGACGTTTCAATCGCAACGCAAGCAATCGTCATCAGGAGAAAAAAAGAGGGGAAAGGCTGTTGAGGCAGGCTGTTTTAAATGTATGAAATTGGTGTAGCCCAAGGGTCATAAGCGAATTGAGCGGGGCTAGTGATGTTTAAGTGAGAAATTTGCATGTCAGTGTAACATCGGGGAGCTACCTCCACGACGACGAAGCTGCGGAGGTGACCAGTGTATTGTGAGAGATTAGCATGTCAATGGAAGATCGCAGAGCCACCGCCTGATGACGATTGCTTGCGTTGCGATCGAAACGTCGTAGTTTTTTTTATGTTATTTTATTTTTATTTTCTTTGAACCTATCTACGTGACTTTACCGAAAGACCCAAGAATATATCGTGTGGGTACTTCTTTTTTTGGCAAATTTGGAGCGTTACACTGTCACACGATGGCTTACTCGTTCCGAATGACGTCAAGGAATTGTTAACGTCCACTGTTAAGCGGACGGCGTGTACTATGCGGCTAACGCACCCGGATGCCCACTGCTGGGAAGTAGTAGAATCAGAATCTTTATTCAGACTGGAGGAATCCGATGAGCTCTGGCGATCTTTTTTCACAGGTGTCCAGTATGGGGCGGGTCAATAATTACCAGGGCGCAGCCGCTGAGCTAGAGCAGCGAGCCTCGGAAACCAGCGGCGCGCCGTGCCGTGTCACCGCTCCGGCTAAACCTGGCATCGAACGCGGTACCGTCTCCCCTCGCCGCCGAGAGAGGCTGGAAGAAGCCGCGTTCCGCAGGCGTTAAATCCTGCGGGCGTTTTGGCAAGGTCACCGACCGACCGCCGACTTGCCTGCTGCGCTAAGACCCGCGCGTCTCTTTCTATCGATTTTGTTTGTCTGTTTTAGTCTGCTAAAATAAACACAGAATCAAACCTTGTTTCTTTTTCCTACATAATGGGGAGCGCGGACTGCTCGCCCACTTGTCCACCCACCCAGGCCGCTCGCCGGCGCTCTCCGCTCAACTCGCTCCATCACGAAAGCGGGAGATCAATATTTCTCCCGTTCGGGCTACCGCGAGCTCGCCTCCCGGACCATCTTGAAGTGTAATCTCAAACTATTGTTTACACAAGATTCATTGCGCCTGGCCACCAGCCGTAACAGATTATAAGCATACATGATCTCAATTTAAATGATGGACGGCTGTGCAAAGCGGCTGGAGATTGGATGAGCGGGGGGTTGGGACGGAGACCAGGGCGGCTGGTTTTGGCGGTGGGTTGGAAAGGGCTGGGCGGTGTGGGGAGGGTGGTGTGGGGGGTTCATAGGAGATGAGAACAGTGGAGCGAGGCTGGTGGGAGTGCAGGGAGCAGTGGAGGAAGGTGGGAGGGGGGGTGTGTGGACATGAGGATTATATTTTACACGTGCGCTGTCAAGGTCAGAACTTGGCACGCGGGCGAGGAATCGCTACGCGAATGCTCGCGGGCGTCGTCGGCGGCGTTCGTGTCTCCCGCGGACACGCACCACTCCTTACGTTGCAAGGGCCTGCTGTGGATCTCAATGAAATAATTATCTTTTTCGGACTTGTCATTTATTTAGCCAGGAAAGGTCTTACTGTTGACCCAGGCGGCTTAATTGTCCGAACACTGAGCCGGCACGTTTGAGACGCCGAGTTCGAATCCGGGGGTTTCAACTGCCTATGTATTAAACTGGGTTCTCAAGTGCAGTGAGTTGGTGGCCTCAGCCGAGTCGTCAATAGACTGCAACGACAAATTAGCACGTGATTAAATTTTTGTTCCTCTTATTTTGGCTCATCGGCTTTTTCTGAGAATTCTAAATGTTGTTTTCGTTGCCGTGCAATGGATATTTCTCTGTAGCAGTGCCTGTTAGATAACCCGGTGCCCCTAGTATGGATAAAAGAGGTCACGTAAAGGGATCTCAGAAGTAGCTATGTGATATCTTCTTCTGCCAGACATCGTCCAACACAGGGTGGTGTACTGCTCACAGAGAGTTCTGAATGGATTCTTCATCTCTCGTCCTGTTATTGCAATTTCAGTTTTTTTTATGAAGTAACACAAGCATTCTCAAGAGTGTATGTATGCATTGGCTGTCGACTCAGTCCATTGTCTTTCGAGGAGGGAATAAAATTGCTACCACTCCGTGGGACATCAATAATTATTTACCCTATGCACAGACTGGCCTTCGGAATGAGAATATGGAACGTGAGCCCTGCCCAATGCATGTTTGAACAGGGAAGCAATGGGAGATATATATACTTTTTTTCATGAAAGCAATAAGCCGTAAAATACTTTACACCAAATTAAATCTACTGTTTCCATTAGAAACTCATTTTTTTGACGATGGCTCAATCATTTTTGGATGGCAAAAGGTCTCTGCTATGTTTAATTTGTTCCCGGAGCAGCTGTGACATTTCCACCACGTCACCGGTGAAAGTGAGCAGTAGAACCTGATTACATTATTTTTTTTCTCCGATGTGTGCTAAAGCAACAGGAGTAATTTGATTTGGTTTGACATTAACGCCGGCGCGTGGGCACGGCGCTAAGCCCCGCACGGCCGTCGATCAGCACTCGCTGAGTATTTTCCCCGACCGCCCGTTGTGGAGCTCCAAAAACACGGCAATAAAAGTTTCATAAAAGTTTCGATTTAATTCGGCCCAAACTATTACCTCTCACCATTCGGGTGCAATAACCGTACGAGTTTTCTCATGGTAACACCCTAGAGGTACACAGACAAAGAGAAAGATTCCCCACGAAGCCTTAAAGAGACTTTTGGGACAAGTGCCGTGAGAGAGAACCTACGAAGCCCCGGCACTGCGCACGTGGGGGTGGGTGGCCGCCTTTGTCTCACCACTGCTGATGTTTACACACTGCGCCAGATGTTAATTTAAGGCCGAGTCAACCTAGGGGAGGCCCTGGATATGGTGTATATATTCGTCATTGATGTTGGTCATGAGCAGGAATCGAACTCGGATCGCTGGGTGTCGTAGCGTAGTGAACTAACCAACTACACTAACTGTCCCCAATAGGATACACACACAAGACAAAGATCCCCCGTATAGCCTGAACAGACTGTTGGGGCAAGTGCTTTTAGCAAGCATCTTTCGAGGACTGTACGGCACACGAGGGGATGGGTGGCCAACACCACGCCCGACCGCCTTTGTTTCCCCAGTGGCGATGTTTACACATCGCGACAGGTTATCATTTGAGGCTGAGTCGACCTAAAAGGAGGCCCAGGAACGGTTCAGATAATCGTCACCGGTGTTGGTGGCCGTGAGCGGGAATTGAACTCGGGCGACCGGATGTGTAACGCAGCACGCTAAGCAATAAGCCGTAAAATATATAACACACGCAAGTCGGCCTGTGTTATGTTCAAAGATATGTTTTAATGCAGCAAGCTTGTAGTGTATTGCCAGAGTTAGGGGCAATGATGAATAGACTACGAACATAGTTGAGGTGTCACAATATCCTACAGCCTCTTTGTAGATTTCATAAAGTGCAACGAT